AACTTGTAAAGGAAAAAAGTTACAAAATGGGTCCAGAGCAGAAAACCGCATACCTCGTAACTTCTACTCGACGTTAGGTAAGCAAACTTCAAGTCACATTGCATTAACATTCTCCAAGACAGATCCAGATTTTGTGGGGGTCGAGGATCGTAGTATTATTACGATATACACATCTATACGAAGAATGAGAATCCATGCTTCGTGAATGGATTCTCCTCCACGACAATCCATTTCAAATCAATACTACTATCGGATTCAATCTTGAAGGACGGTTCCCATTTGAAATGATCCACAAACAAGTAGAGGAGAGGGTGATCATGCACCTAAGTAAACACGATCTTAAATGAAAGAACCCTCCATCTAACGTTCTAATTAATTAACTAAACCACTTAATTACAATATTTCGTTGAAATGGTCTTCAAAAAGATTAAATGACCATTGTTTATGAGACAAATCCAAGGACTTTCAAACAATAGTATGGTGAGAATCGAAGTTTTTATATTAGGTGGGTGCATATAATATATAAAATCATATTAATACAAATAGGTCACGCAATTGCATGGGGGAGAAAAAAAATCAAGAAAATATGTAGCAGATATTGACCATTCTAATTAGAAGATAATAAAAAAAAATTATACTTATAATTTTTGTTGCTAACTATCTTGCTTATTGGGATCCTGAGTTATTTTAGGGGCTTTCACATTATAAGTAATCTGAACATTCAATTATCTTATTGAATTGGCTTAATTATATTGTCGAGATCTAAAAAATGTAATTGATTAATTGTATGCATTAAGATGCTACACCAAATAAAAATTGGAAAGGTATATGATTATATTTGTTTAATATTTCTAAATCCTGGTTTACTACATTTGTTTAATATGATTATATAACTTGAAATTATGGCTATCCATTTATTATGCATTAAAACACCCGCGTATGAATTTCTAAAATTGTAATCGTATAAATATTTGAATGATTCTGATCTAGTTCATGGCCTAGTAGAACTAGAAGGCGCTCTGGTAAGGTCCTCACGGACAGAAAAAGATTGCAATCAAATGACATTGCTTCTTCAGCCCGAACCAAGGAATTCTAAGATTAAGCCCGAACCAAGGAATTCTAAGATTAAGCCGAAAGGCGTAATCGATGTCCAACCAAAAGTTTATTATACGGGAACCCGAATGAACGAAATAATGAATTAAAAGAAACTGCTTTAAATACAAGCAAGTCGTGAATAATTTTCACGTTAAGCTAATGATTGATGTTTATTTATGAGGAGATGACACCAAAATTTCGCAACCCTTCGCAACCCACATGTGTTGGTAGGAAACAGCCAAAACCCCATTCAATTTTAATAGTCCATTGGGATTGGAGTGGTCAAGAAAAAATGTATAACATTCGTATAATATCTGTTCTTATATTCGTACACACATCTCTTTTCGAAGTGGGACTCAAATTTTATTTTATTTTTCAATGTGGAGGATCAAATTTACCAATAATAAAATTTGGGGTATTTTCCATGAAATCTGCCAAGCTTATAAAGTCCTCATGATGAGCTGAGGCCTGAGGAGCTGTGGTGTGATGGGGCCTGGCTTGGTTGGATATTCCAAGACTATATAGAATACATATTCTTCAGAAGTTCGATAGTTGACTGAGGAAGGGATTGCATACGACTTGAGACCAATCGGTTCTTCACATTGTACTAATTTTAGGTAAATCTTGATTGTTACTTGCTCCGATCGTTCTGAAGTGTCTATTTAAGCCAACAAGAGATTTTGGTAAATTCGTTAGTTCACTGATGAACAAAGTTAATATTCGAGAGAGATAAATATATTGTTGGGAGTCCTCTTCTACCGTTCTTTCTATCCCCTTGATCGTTATGACATTAATGTTTGTACTCTTCATTTGTCGTGCGCCTCAACAATAAAGTATTGCCGCAAACTAAAATAGGTGCATGATGACGTGTGTTTTTCCTCCTGGTGGTCGTCCTACAACTCGTCATTATTATAATTGGGCCACACCCCTACGCCGACGAACGGGCTTATGAGCCGCTTCTCCCATTTGGTCGAGTGGGCTTAGTTACCTTGTAATGGACCCAACAAAAAACAATCCACGATAATGAGATTTTTTGTTCGAATCTCTATGATCCCCAATGCTAGTACTTGATGGGGAGTGCAAGTGAATGATAGTAGTATAAGATTCATTATTGTTGGTGTTCATCCAAGAACTCGAGTTGCTTATATCAACCTGTTATTAACATTTTCTTCGTGACAATATTTCACTCACCCAACTCAACAGAATAATATCCAATTTTCTCTACAACATTTAAAGGGGATTATTCTTATTTCTTAATTGTGGGAAAAGGTCAATAAATAGAGGGGGGAAACAGAAATGAATTGGCTTGACAATGAAGGAAACACAAATACAAATTAAGCAAAGGGAACCAAATGGAGACAGTCAGTCAGCACCTCAGCCGTATAGCCAAAGCCCAAAAGGGCCAAAAGAAAACACATCTCAAGAAATTCTGGCGGTTTTGTCTCAATCTGTCCTCTAACTAGTCACCAAAAGGGTAAAAAAAAAAAAAAATACAAGTAATCCAAGCATATTCTACTCATAAATTTGTCCTTATGATGATCAACATTACAATGTAATTTTGAAGTTGTACCGAATAAGTTTTATAACTATTTATAATATGAACATATGGTAATTGATTTCTGCATAGATTCACACACTTCTCTGTTCATTATTACACTTGCAATCGAGAATTAAGATCATTCTGAAACGAATCAGATAACCAAAATGACAATTACATAACTGTAACCCAAAATTATTAGTCTACCACAGACAGATAATTTTTTTACTCTTAATTACCCTTTAATCACTCTATTTATTAATTAACTTGAAAATTTGGGAAACAAAAAGGGACAGTTTTAAGGTCAAAAGAGTTGCTTGCTACCTGCTTTTTTTCCTCCTGCTGGTCTGGTTGTAACCTTGTGAGGTGCTCAGTCCCCTGGAATCTCTCTTTGTGGCTTCTTCCCACTAGAGAGAAGGAAGAGAAAAAAAGGAGTGTGAGAGAAAGTGAAACATAAAGATAGGGGGAAAGCATAAATAATTAATCAAGGGAAAGAAATTCATATCCAATTCATAGCAATTGCAAATCCAGCTCATTTGATTCAATTTTCTTATTAAGCTCCAAATTTGGTGTTATTGGCTCCTTGATCTAGTAAAACCTAAAAAGTCCCACCTTGGCCCTCCCTATAGGGTTATTACATTTATTAGACATTTGGAGGTGCACAATTCACAATCATGTGCTTTGTATTTGGTACAAGAAGATAACCATGGAAGATTTTAAAATCAAGAATAATACAAATTACATGAACTACAAAGGACGAGCAAAATATAACAGTACGTAGCTCAATTGGTAACGTGTTGCGCTCACATGGAAGAGTTCTTAAGTACAAATCCACGTTTCCAAAAAAAGGTGTTCCTAAAAGCATTCTTTCTTCCACTCTTATAAAAATGAAGTGTAACATAGTTCTGCAAGCAATTGTAACATAGTTATGCAACCCACAGTGTAATAAAGTCGACTTGAGGAAATGAACATAGTAAATTAAGTGTAAAATGTTTTTGAACGACACTTATTGCCGAGTCTAGTGTTTGCTTTCTATCATCAACAAATCAAGCACATACAACTGAAAGAAAAGAAAAATGCCTACAAGGAAGATGACGTGAAACAGGCCAACTATCTCGCGGTTGTCGTCCTCTCTCAAGTATTATTGGGTCGAAAAGATCTTGTGGAACTTTGCTTCTCGTTGTTAGTAACCCAACACCAGCCCATATAATGTTGAGTCACTTACTATGGGAGGATGATTAATGTACTACTACTCTCCCACCTCTAATGGTTTGGGGTTCAATCCACCTATATACCACCTAGCTAGCCTTCCTTTTTCCCCCCAATTTGGAATGTGTTTGGCTTTTGACACTAGGCTTTGTAGCAAAATAAGTAACAAGGAGGAGAACATATTCAATGAACCATGAAACATGAAAACTATATGCTATATACAAAATGGTGGTGATGGTTTTTCCTTTCTCATGTGTTTTCCTTTCCTTCCCTCTCACTCAAGGTAACATACATAGCAATGAATTTGGATCATCCATTTTGGTCATAATACATTCAAACATCCATATCCACATCCACCATCTCACATAGTCACATGTTAGGTTTCTCCTCTTAGTTTGGGACAAAAAATTCTTCATGGTACTATCAAGTAGGGCCTTTCCATTATGTACATTTTTTTGTTACCTCTTCTTCTGTTGGTTGCCCCCATGTAGCTTTGTGTTGTACTATCAGTCTTCTTATGATAAAAATGAGTGGAGAGGGAAGTTTTGATCCGTACTATTAATTGGATAACGTTCACACACTCGTTAACATCAGGAAAGATTCAATTACAAAGCATGCGGCTTTGTTTTGTACAATCATTAGAAGATTATCGGTGACTAGATTTGAATAAACCCAAATTCGATGAAATAATAAGTTGTCGACGGAAGAACTTATCAAATGCCATAAGCGAGATCAATATTCGTTGCTAAAGAATGATTAGTGTAAAATCGTAGATTAGATTACCCATCAAGTAAGCTATGTAGTTGATGCAATTTTTCTCTATATTCAATCCTTGTCTGCAAAAATTGTCTGTGTTTCATGAATCTACTAGTTATTTACGGGTCGTGGGTTGCATCGGACGTAGGTGTCGTGATGAATTGACCAAATCGATCCAAAATCAACGTTTTTCGATAATTTATTGTTTTGTATATGCAGAAATGTCACCTGATTTACAAGGGAGAGAAAGGAATCGAACTAAATCATAATAACCCTAATCGAAAATCAAACAAACTGGAGACTAATCTCTCCTGTATTTTAAGTATTTAGCTAAACTACCAAAATTCATCATTCTTTTTTTACTTAATCCTTCTCTCCTGCGGATTTTTACAAGGGTTGATTGTCAAAACGGCATAATGTGGGTGGTCTTGGTGTCGTAACTAGAAAGGCACGACTTGGAATTCACCCGGAAAATCCTCAACAAGTCCGTCGACATCCCCCTCACCGCCGGCGAGCAGTTGCTCTGCATCAGCAGCAGGATCCTCGTCAGCCCGTTGCTCCTGACCACCGCGTCCGCCGCCTTCTGGTCCCTGAACAGGTAGCACGCCGTCCACAGTATCGTCACCGCGACCTCCGTCGCCGCGTCGGACACCTTCATCGCCTTCCTCACCACCGCCTCCACGCAGCCGGAGTCCCCGCACAGCTCCGCCATCCCTTCCCGGCACGACGAGACCGACTCGAGCAGCTTCAGGGCCTTCTCCGCCGTCGGGGCCGGGACCGACGGGGATCTGAGGACCTCGCGGAGCTTCCCGATCGCTCTCAGGCGGACGAGCTGCGGCTTCACGCGCTTCGGCATTGAGATCGAGATCAGGCACGAGAGGACGGCGTCGATGAGAGGCGGATCGGTCCGTGGAGCGATGGAATTGACCAGGTGGAGCAGTAATCCGTCGCTTTCCGCCACAGCGAGCTTCGATTCGGCGTCGATGGCGATTGATTGGATGATCCGTACCGCTGCGATTCGCGATTCCGGCCGGCTGCTCCCCTGTTTCATGACGCGGAGGAGCGACGGCGGCAGCGAATTGGGGGATTTCTCCTTTGGAATCAGTAACAATCGCTTCAGCTCGTGAAAATCCCCAAATTCGGTCGACACCGAATCCAAAACCCTAACCGCAAGCTCCACCACCGGCGGGGAAAGATCCTTGTCATCCGAATGAATCAGGAGAGCAGCGAGCATTGCGACGAATCCGTCCATCTTCGCCAGGAACCTCCGATTCTCGCTGGATTCCTCGGCAAAAGACGCGATTTTCGACAGGTCGTCGAAGGAGCAATTTCTTCCGGATTCCTTCTCCTCGCCTCCGATTTCCTTGACGACGAGCTGGATTTTGTCCGGGGAGAGCGGCGATGCCGACTCGGCCGAGGAGTCGTCGAGCGGATTGTGGCGGTTTTGGCTGGACCAGGTCTGGATGAGGCGGTGGAGGTTGGCGTTGGGGACGAACTCCTTTGTGTCGAGGACCTGCATCGTCGCCGGGCAGGTGTTGTTGCCGGAGTCGAGCCAGCGCTGGATGCTGGAGCGGTCGTAGGTGACGCCGGTGGAGAGGCTGACGGGGGATTTCATCACGTCGAGCGAAATCGGACACCGGAAGTAGCTCGGCACCGTTATGTACAAGTCGTCCCTCACCATGTTCGATTCGTTTTGGGATTTTGTCTTCTGTTTGTTTGCCGAGAAAATTAAATCTACAGGTAAACGGAGAGAAAATGGAACAGAGAAGAGAGAGAGAGAGAGAGAGAGAGAGTGAAGGAAATGGGAAGAAGAAACAGAGAAGGCGACGGTCGGTTTAAAGAGTCAAAGGTCTGGTGATGTCAGCACTCAGCAGCTCTATTTTTTGGGCCAGGGGAATTTTCACTTTTTTTCTCTTCTTTTTAAATCTCCCTTTTTTAGGTTCTGCGACGAATATTATTCTGTTGGTTAATTACTTTTTCAGTCCCTCGAAAATATTGTATAGCAATGGAAGTTCCGGAAAAAATGACATTCGTAGTAAGATGAATTCTCCAATTCAACTCGTCATCCTACTTGGAAATCACTATAACGATCTAACCGTTTAACTCGGAATCGAAATTTGAATCGCACAATCATCCAACTCGATTGTCATATTACCAAATTACCAGCCTCGTAAAAGATAAGCTTACACTGCTCTTGCCTTTCCAACATAGCAAGCGACGGAGAGAAGCTTCCGAAAATTTGCACATCCAAAACAGAACTGTCACATTGTCACACTACTTGTTCGCTCTTATCTCCTCTGGTGAATACAAAGCCCTACCCTCCACAATTTCAAACTTGATGCGGTAGATTCGATTCTCTTCTGAGATTCTAAATGAAGAGGATCAACAAAAATAATTTTCAATGTACTAGAGAACGTGTAGTCGACTCAATATGACTCTCACATAGAGAAAATCGCTATCGGACGGGAAAGTATAAATTGAGAGATGAAACCGTGGGGACACGATAAATATAGGGACTCGCTCTGTAATTATGTTGTTTGGTTTTTTTCTCTTTTCTGGTATTGTGGGGGTCACTAGTCAAAGAGAGGACCACTTTTTTATTAAGTTTGAGGGGGCATCTGCAGCTTTTTTATTTATTAATTTTTGGCGGGGGCGCGAGCGGCGAGCGTGGGTTGTGCGCCGCGAGTTTGTGGCCGTCGGATGAAGATAAAAGGCGGGAACGTGGAATGGGTTTGGACGGCTGAGATGAGGTGCACGGTGGGGCGAGCGTCCAATTGAAGAAGCGTATAATTCGGGAACGTGGTGGGCTGGACTGGTCGGGCCCATTTCGGTTTTGGGTCGAACAGGTTCGTCGGTCCCCCACGGTTGCATCATTTGTACCGTTTGAGATGAAGACTCAACAAGGAAAAATAAAGTGCGTGTGGGTCGTGACTCGTGACCAGTTGGCCCGTGGCCAAAGGTTGGTATTTTTTGAGTATTTTTCGTATTGCGAGAATGGATCGTTTAAACGACAATCATCGATTCATATTTGGATTCAATCATCTATACTTTGTTTTGATTAGACTCGAACCAAGGCAGTAGTACGCTTGAGCGGACATCCAATACCCGAACCGAGGCATAAAGCTTGATCGCTAGCCGAACCGGTCGAAGGCAGCTGTTCGGTCAGTCAAAATGTGCCAACCCTTCAGTCTCCATATATTATGTTGGGCGCCAGTCGACAGAAGAGGGTGGAGTTGGGTAGAAGAGCATATGAGTGAATGCATAAGAAGAAAAGACGGGTAGGAAACTAGTAATTGCTATATGACTCACACACATGTACAAAATACATGCATAATGATTATTAACTAACTAAGGGCCTTGATCAGTAATTAGGGGCATTAATGTTGCTAATAACACTCCCTTTACTTTAACAAATCCCATCTTGGACAGAAATTGGTGAGGGGGAATTGAATTGCTATCTTTGTCGCCAGATTCGGTGTACACGATCCAATATTTTTTGGATACGTGTGTAAGATCTATAAAGGTGTGTCAATTATAATTATAGATCAAGGTTCTGTCAGAGTTTCATATTCAATGTTTATGTACGGATGAAATCTAAGTTTCTTATACAAACTTCGTCCGACACACCTACTAAATCCTTGTATCCAGTTCCTGGTTAGATTCATACTCGTCGATCGAGAGAGTAGGTTAGCGGACCCAGACATTAGTAGAATTTCAAGAATATAATTTTTTCTCTCTCGTTATCTTATGTCTCATAGACAATAATCAGGCCCGGCCATGGGCCTGTGCTGGTAGGCCCGCCAGCACAGGGCCTCGGTGGAAGTATTTTCTAGGTTGTTAATAGGCCCACAAATAAGTAATGTATCTTGACTCTTGAGTCTTGACGTTAGAAAACAAAGTGAGCTGTTTGAACTAAATGATGAGCCTCTAATTAATTCATATTTTAAACGGGATTCAAGATAAATAATCTGTTTTCGCCCAAATTGCTTTGAAAACAAAATGACTCCCTTTAAATTAATTATGGACCTCTAATTAATCTATAGCTTAAACGGGCCTTCAGGTAAGATCATTCTTTAAATTGCTTGGCAAACAAAGTTACTAGCACCAACTAAATGATGGGCCTACACTTAATCACTGAGAAAAGCTTTTCATGGGACATCAATGGTAAAAATGAATCTTTTTTATATCTTATGTAAACGGTAAGAAGGAATTATATCTGATAGGCAATTAGTATTATTCTTTGTTTTGTTGATTGCTTTAAACCTTCAAATTTTGATATGGTGGATCAAATTAATTTTGATGATGATTTTGAAAGAAGCTTTTCAAAGTTGAAGTTGTTGAAGTCTTATTTGCGCTTTACAATGATAGAAGATAGACTTAACGAGTTAGCGATGTTCGCAATTGAGAATAACTTCTTGGATGATGCAAAGATGGAAGAGTTAATAGAGTATTTTATTTCAAATAATACTAGATGATTGTTACTTTTTTTTTAAAATGATAGATAATATTACTTATTTTGTAATAATTTTTTAAAATTATGTATTTTATTATTTATTTAATAATTTTTATTTTTAATAAACTTATGAGAGAAAAAAGGCCACATTTTAATTTTCGAACAGGGCCTCCGAATATCATGGGCTGGCCCTGACAATAATAACTGGTTCTTTTAACTTTTTTATTAGGGGTGATATAAATTTTGTTTTTATTGTTAGCTACTACTTGAAATATATATACCCGAGACTTTCAAATTGAAGATTAATAATAATAACACCGGATCAAACATTTTTTTTAATAGTTTTGAGAGACCCATTAATCATTATACGACTTGCTAGCTTTAACTTAAGTTCTTCGAGGTAGATGCCATGCCATTCTTGAGTAGAAAAGAAATACAAATTACAACGTGGAGATGATGAAAGAAACGATAAAAATAAAACGCCCTTCCATGTTGCATATGGGCCTCATATTTCAGTACAGGGCCCATTTTAGACATGGCCCAATATACATACAATTTGCCATATATATATTCGTATTAATCATGCATGGCTCCATCTTAAATTTTTAGTTTTACTGTTACATTTTTTCTTAGACCATCAACAACAATGAAATAGCATACCTATTTCATTTGTGGCCCCTACGGTCACATATACACTTTTTACAATTTCATTTTTTAACATTCATTTCATCTATATCCATGGAATATATCTCCAATTTCATATGGTGGGCCCGATTCACATAAACAATATAACTAAATAATTATACACTCTAACAAATTGAAATGGGCCCACTTGCTACCCCACTTGCAATTTCATTTGCTCTTCCATCTAATGAAATATTTCATTATTGAAATAGGTTGCTACAACCATGAAATGGCAAATGACATTGTCATGTCACTTTGAAATGAAGAAGATACAGCCGATGCAGCTGCTCTGACAACGATACGATTCTGACAGTTTACCGTTGATTTAAATTTTAATCACATAATATATTAGGCATGTCAAATCTGCAAGTCAATAAGGGGCCTATTTGTTTGAAAAGAGTGTAAGGGATGATATATCTTTCACAATAATTTTGAGGTATTAGAAATAACTAATTATTGGAGTTTAGTGTTAATTTGTACGTAGCATTTGATTAAGAGTATTCGTGTTTGGGTCCTGAAAACTCTTCATACTATTAGCATTAAGTAACTTAATGCAAGAGAATTGCATAAGAGTCATTTTTTACTTCTTCAAACAACTCAAATCATTGGTGCTAGGTGGTTATCCATAATAACTATTTAATAAGGTAAGATACCATTTTTTTTAAGGAGATTTGAAACTACTTAAGGTATATACTTTTGATTCTTGAAGGACGTCGATATAAAATACTCTAATTGAAATACAACCAACAACGAAGAGCGATGCCTAAAGAGTATGAAAAATAACGATAATCCACCGCTCAACGATGACCTTTCAGATTTAAATAATCAACGATAAAATTTGCCTCCCTACACACGGATCAATTTGAAGGAAGAGTGAAGAGGCGCCATAATTATTATATAATACTTAGAAATTAATTTTGCTATTTTTATCAAAAGGTAATAATAATTGCATTTTGTGAGCATTGATTGGATGAATAAACAAATGATGAAAGCATGCAACAAAACAGCTAGATTTGCAAATTAGGCCCCTCCCTAAATAACACGTTCACTGTTTTTCATTCTCTTTGGGTAAAATGTTTTTTGGGGTAAATCATGATAACAAATGATGCCTACACCATTTTTTTCAAAGCTTTTACGCAATTATTACCCGCACGAAGTAATATACGGTCTAGAAAAGAGTAATACTCAATGGCTTAATCCATGTATTTACACGTATACATGACTAAATCATGGCACCAAAACCTAAAAATGAAAAGATAAAAATGATGACTGTAGAGGTAAAAAAAATCATGACTGTATTTTTTTTTTGTTGAGATGATTCCAATACATAATTGGGGAATTTCAATAATCTTTTGTAGTTTTATAATTTCGTTGACCAAATGCCTTTCTACCCATTTGACTTTGTCCTCTTGATCTCTAATGACTTCTACTAATATGTGTTTTTTTTATCTCTTTCATAAAATCGATACGATAATAATGACAGATGTTAATGATGTTTTAGTCTTTTTCTTTTAGATGCATTTCATTAAATGCACCATTATCTCTCGTGGCCTATAAACCAAAACTCAACAAATCGAGCCCTAGCCATTGAAAACAATTATATACAGAGGAAATGTTATCCTATATTTGAACACCTCTCGATCTCAAAACATGCTTTGTTCCGTCTTAAAGGGTGACTAATCCCTTAATTCGAGGGGTGTTTCCACTATCCGCAATTGTACTAATTCATCTTAATCCCCCCGAATCCTTCTAGACAAAATGATTAGGTCCTTGCTGACTATAGGGAGAGAATTCTTATTGAGAAATAAGTTGACTTTGATTTTTAATACTTTCCTCAAAGACAAGGCTCATAAACTCTACAACCTTTCTAAAACAGATCGTTTATCTTCAACGTTGTCAGAATTTATCGTTTGTTCAAAAATCTTCCTCGTCATCTAGGTAAAACTTTCATTAATCAGTCACGAGTACTTCAAACAACTTTCTGTCGGATTTACTGACTCATCTAAGTAGAATAAATATTTGACCGTTTAGCTGTAGACTTTGTTGATTCTGATGGGAAAGAGCAGACTTTTGAAAACCCATGATTTTTTTTATACGAATGAAAATCCATGATGGGAAATTCTCTTTGTAGAAACGAAGTTCGTCCATTTTCTCGGCCGACTTATTGAGACAGAAAACAAACATTCAACGGTTTCACATAAAGGGAAAAAAAATACTTTGATCTAAAAGAAAGCTTATGATTTAATTATTTCTCAGCTAGATAATTTCTCTAATAACATCTCCATAAGAGCAGTGTGATCTTTCCGTTACAACGTACGAATGTACGATAAAAGTATAACATAAATTATAGCAATCAACATCCCGAAATTGTAAATCACATCCCATCTCGGAGTAAATGAAGTGTAGGAAACTACACATGGAAAACAAAAAAATATTTTTTTTTATATAAAATGTGTCTGTCATGCAAAATCTTCATTTACTACGTCATAAATGGTAGTATCTAAGTTTTAGAAACCTCATAAATCTTTCATTTACTATATGTCAGTCTACTTGCCAAAACTACGCAATTAAATGCCATTTTGACTTACACAATCTCCCTTTCAATACTGCGGATTCTCACTATAAATAAGAGACTTGAGGAAAACATCAAAACATCAAAACCCAAAAGAGCTTGAAGGATTAGCATACATTGTAACGAAGCAAGAAGAAGGAGAAGCATGGAAGGCAGAGTTTGTAAGAGTAGCATTGCCATGGCGGCGAGCTTGGTCGTAGTGGTGATCATGGCGCTGCTCGTTGCTCAAGGAGACGCCGATCAAGAGAAATTCGATAAATGTTACAAGGCGTGCATGGCGACTTGTCACATGATCGGCATCGACATGTGCATGACGTTCTGCGCTAGAAAATGTATAGAAGGGATGAAGTTCTCGGGCCCGAGCACTTCGGAGAAGCAAGTGCAGAACACAACCAGCAACCGTGCGGGAGGACCTCATCAATAATAGAGAATGCATGTAAATTTTTTGCTTGATTGGAGAAAACCAATAATAATAATAATACGTAATTATTGTCTATCTTTTGTGTGTGTTGATTTTGGAGTTGTTTAATTTGTTCAATATTTTATGCTCCCAACCAGTTAAAAGATCTTGCAACCATTTCGGTTTTAATGTGATATCACTAGGGGGATATTTGGATAACTTCGAGATTCGAGAACACACGTGAGATCTTAAGCGTGCAGAAATTTGAATATTTTTCTGTTACCGTTTTTTTTTCTCTACACATTTCGATGACCGTTTTGTTAACCAGTTTGACTATGATGACCACATTAAGCACTTTGCTAATCAAATTATTTACCCCTATATATAATCAAAATTTCCTCATAACACCATTATCCATGACCACTTATCCAATTGGCCCACATTAAATGTAGTAATTATCTCTAAAATGGAAAGTTGAGCAACAATAATCAGTCAAGAAGAAGAGTGGTTGCTGTGACAGGGTCAGCAGTCCCATTGAAACTTGAAAGAATGTCATGACTGTTGAATTGGCAAAAAGATAAATACAAAAAACAATTAAATACATTGAATTGAGTCAACATTATTTTATTTATTTATAAGGAACATCCATAATAACTAAAATAAAATAAAATAAAAACAAAGACAAGCCAGCCACACGTACGGGGCACACTTCAATTCAATCACGTCAGGCAATTTGTTTGATTAGGTACGTTTGATGAATCTCCATTAACCAACAACAACAAATTATCAGCATCACTGTGACAGCATTGCATTGCATCCATATGGTTTAGCTGGCGATCATGATTGGTCGGGATTTACGATTAATTTCGATCCATCCTATACGTATCAGTAATATGATCGAATCGACTTAACATTCGTCAAATCGAATTTACTTATTCGTTAGATCGGAATATACGAATTCGATCAATCAATTAGGACGAGCAAATCCGATCCATCCAACGCATAGATACACACCCATGAATTTCTCTCTTCTTTTTCACAAGTAGTTGCCCTCTCTCTTTGTGGGATGAACATATACAACGTACGTAGGGCCATTGACAGATGAAAAATCCACAATGGAGTGGAGAACCCTTTGCTTTTTCTACGTACCCTCACATCGCTTTGTCCGAAAACATGGACACAAGACAGCTAACACGAGTCTCCAACCCTTATTCTCTTTGGACCCTTTCTTTCTTATGGCTCCTTTTCCCTTCACCATCTTGCACTTTTTCATTAATGTGGTTTTGGTTTGGGGTTTTCTGGTTGTTGGATTCCACGACTAAGGCAACATATCATCACAGAGTAGGAGAGATTACTATATATCCGAAACTCTCGTGGAAAGAGATCAAGATTGTCAAACCGGTTTAAGTCATTGAGCCGGTCAAAGCAAGGGGTTTGAGGTTTAATAATCTGATCGGGGTCCGACCGATTTGAATCGTTTTGGGCATTTTTCTAAATGTACATACATATAAGGTAGTAATTAAAGATTTAAAAACTTAATTTTTCACAAAATAAATCTACCTAATCTTCATGACCCACCCACCATCTCCCTTCCTTCGTTCCTCTTCCTCTCTCCCCGCTCTCTTTCTTCTTCTCCCTCTATAGGGTTCAGACCGTGGGCTTTTTGGAGGCCGTTTTGAAGCTCGACTCGGGTCGGATCAGGTCCAACCGGAGGTTCGATAAGGGTTTAACAACCTTTGAAAGAGATGTTTGTGGCCTGGTCACACACATCGTACTAGGAGGTAAAGAAGTAAAGCTACAGTAAATACAGAAAGCAAGAAGCCCAGAATTCCACAACAAGAAGCAAAACAGGAACAGAGAGAGAGAGACACTCTGGGAGACAAGTTTTCCTCTGTTATGGGGATTGAGACGAGACAGTCATCAGTAGTCAGTAAAAAAGGCGGAGTCAGTAAGTAGTAGTAAAAAGGTCTAAAGCCACAGTATTCGGGAGGCAAATTGGCCGTAAAAACCTCAATTCCCACTCTTCCACGGCCCAAGCGGCCCATTGACAGGCTATAGTAGGAAGACATGGTTGGCTAAAGCTAGAAACAGTACTACTGTTACTTGTAGTAGCCAAAATAGCTAGCCATGGCAATGGTTTGCAGTCGTCGGGCTTCTGCCTTCATTCAATACGACCCCTTTTTTACCTCTTGTTTCTACTTACTAACTCTTTGGTAACAGCCACCCAACTGTTCATTCTTTGCTATGCATCATCACCATCACCTAACTTGTCTGCCAAACCTCTCAATGTTTTCTGACCGGTTTGAGAAGACCTCACCACTCAAAATTGGACCAAATGATGCTCAATTATGTGGGCTACTATGGGTGGCACCGGGTTGTAAGTAATGGGTTGATAATCGTTGGATTGCGATTCTTGTGATTTCGGTAGTAGGATCATGCATGCGACACTGATTAGGAAGTCATCACTATACGTGATTAGGCTGTGGTTGATCACGAGGGGGAGGGGGAGGGGAAGGGGGAGGCACGATGGGACCATGTTAACCCTCTTCTTATAAGTGGGCTCGATATTCGAATGAAAATTTCGATTATGAAGAAAAGTAGAAACATATAGATGGTTGAGTTGATTTTCTTTTTTCATGGCATGTGCAAGACGAGCCCGTCTCAACCATTGGATGGCGAAACCTATCTTTTGAGGATGATCGTGAGGGTTTTAATACGGTAGTATCATGTGTACACGGTATGCAGTGCACCTAAGACTTGTATTGTCTGTCAATCTAAGCAGAGGAAGGCTTACTCTCAACATTCTAATCAAACTCGAAATAATGCTATAACACTCAATCAAATAATTATGTTGTGTACATAGATAACATAAGAGACTTCTAAATCGTATTAACACGAAACAAATACGACATTGGAGTAACATGATCTTAGAAGAAGTTAGAACACATCCATTCTGCTGTCACTATTCATTCCCCATTCTCCCACTCCTTTTATCAAACCTTTTTCTCCCCTCTTTTTCAATTGGGTTGGAACACATTAGAAAGCCCATCCCCTTTTTCATTTTCTCTCCTTTATGGTGTCCTTTCCCTCCCCGCCTAATTTTCTGCTGGCTTCCGCTGCTCCTTTATCCCTTCTTTCTCTTCTTCTTCTCACTATACGAAAGAGAACGAGCAGCAGAAAGGAGTCAGTCAGAATAAGCAAAAGAGACCCATAACTCCCTCTGTTTCCTTCTTCTCTTTTCCCTCTCCTTCCATTCTTCTTCCAAATCCCAAAAAGAAAATTTGAAAAAGCCCTTTTGATTTCATTCCCTCCTACCATTTTCCTCTCATCTTTCATTAAACTTTACCAATCTCTGCATATCCCCTGTTTCTTCCTTCCTCTGTTTTTTTCCCCTCCCCTGCATTATCCCAACCCAGAAGGAAACAACTGAACCCTTATCATAAAAATCCCATCTTTTAACAAATGGTGGCTCAATTTGGCATTCCAAGCTGGAATCTTCGTCATCATCAACATCAACTCACGCCGAATTTCCGAATGATCTTACTGTTCTTTACCATCTTCGTCTTACTAGTAGGAGGCAGCCATGGCTCCAGAACGAACGTTTTCAGGGTGAACCCCAAAACAGAGGGTGGCGGCCATTTCACAAACTTCCTTCCAAGGCATTTGCCCATCCCAACTTCCGGGCCGTCGAGGAGACACAATGACATTGGATTACAAGCTTGGAGATCGCCTTGATCAAGTAGCTAGCTAGCTGGGGACAAAAGGAAATCCAAAAAGGAGGGGATAAAAAGAGAGTAAAGGTTTAATCTTTTTGCTTGATTTTGGATATTGTTGTTAATTACTGATTACCCTTTTGGAATTAACAACGAGGGTGAGATGGGTTTGTTTGTTTTTGTGGCTTGGGGGTGATGTACATGAAAGATGGAATTTGGAGGTGGTGGTGGGTATATAGTTGTAGTTAGGCTACATTATTATTGTTGTAATACTATTAGTAATTAGTATGTATGAACATGAATGAATATTGATACTCCCTTTTTAGGGGTTTCTTTGGGATGATCAAATTGTGATGGCTATAGAATTAATTACTTGTTAATTGCTTAGTTAGAGATGGACAACAAGGAAGAGAGTGAGGGAATTAGAAATGTGTACTCTTTTTTGGTATTATTGCTTAATGGACTTGTTTAAGTTGTATGATTATATCTCTAATTTTCTTGTACAGATTAATGATTATGTGTATGTAGCTAGAATTGATTTATATTTTGTAGCCTAGAGAGAGGGGGGAAATTATTATAAAAGGGAATATTATTGATAGATGATTTTTCAAATTGTTCTGTTGCTCGTGTACATGATTTTGGATGATGGGTTGTCAAATTTTTGTTCTCTCCTTGTTGTCTTATTAATTTATTATTACCTTAATTTTCTGGTTTGATTAAGGAGTAGTTATGAAATCCTAATGATAATGATACTTTTTTTGTTAGTAAGGGGATAAAGCTTCTAGTTTGAATGGTTCATACTTAAGGCTGCATTTAGTGGATATGTGATTCAAAATTAATCTAAATATTTGGTTTATGTTAATTTAATATGATTGATATTTAGTGGCGAAGTCGTAAATCTGAATTAGGGCTAAAAAATCTAAAGGACTTTGAACAAGGGTAATTTAGTTATAGGTAGAACTAAATGTAAAAATCTAAACTTGAAGAATTTGGATTTTCGTAACACCATATTAGTAATAGTTGAACTAAATATAGGATATGATGGATATAATCAAATGTAAATTTCTTTTGATTGACCAAGTATTGCATATGATAATATCTCGAATATTGTGAGCTATGAATATTATTATGACTATTTTTTTTATAGAATTATGACTATTATTAAAACGAACCGGTTCTGCAATAAAAAAACCCAAATCTTACAATGTGGAAGGAAAGGTTCAACATTGGCAGCCAGCCATGGATGAACGTTTCCCTCCATGAAGAGGTTTTGGACGGTTTCCCCAAAAATTCAACTCCACCTAATATCAAACCTGCTCTCTGCAAACGTTGAATTTGTGCTGTTTGTATACATTAGAGTAAGTGTATGAAATAGTGGGAGAGAACATGGTCATTTGGTCAGCAGCCATAATTGGAAGGAGGAGAAAAAAAAACTTGTTCATCTAACGATCGTGGAGCATCCAACATTGCAATTCGATAACTGGACATCTTTGACGTACATTTTTATCACGACGGCGTATGAGTACCATAACCGGCTCGCATTTAAGCTATAATATAAATGTATTTCCATGCATATGGACCCTCTAGTAATGTTCTCTCTAATTCTCAATGCAGACTGCAGTTGAGTTGGGTTGACATTCAATTGCCATAGTTAATACTTTTTATTAATTAAGGTGAGGCCTCTTTTGTCATCAATTTGCCGACTATTCTGAATCCCAACAATAACTTTTGGAGATATAAAAATGGTTGTGGACAGTTAGAATGAGGAAATTTTGGTGAGCATATGAACTGTATAGGAATCCTTGACAATAATATAGTAGTTCAAGTACTTAGCTTACGGTATTGAATTTATCTTTATATTAAAGTGCGTACTAGGAGGCACCATTGCTAAGATGTGATATATTTTTAACGTATATTTAGTTTTGATACAAAGTACTATAAGTTGATATTAGGGCTATCAAAATTAAGACACGAGATATCTCGATCCATGAAGACTTTGATATAGAATAAATGATTGTTCAGGTCATTACATTGACTAGATTGTTGAGAGAGATCCCAAAAATGCACATTAAGCATGTCTGCTGGAGACAAAGTCTACACATAACGGTTATATATCATGCATGTTTATATCAACGTTGATCAATATCGAAGGTTAGCAACATCCAAACATCTAACAATTGTTATTGCCACAGACAAAATTTCTAGTACGATCATATCAAAACCCTATTTATCTCGATTACTTAAGTTATTAGCTTAAGCCTCTTGTAATGTCTACACCAACCCATGTCTAAGGAAAAGAAGATACACGGCTTCCTCTAACCCAATCCAAAAAAAAAAGAAAATCATGGAGTTGTGCTTAGTGCCTTTGCCTTTCATCGTTATTGTACTATACATAATTACACAAATTATGGCAAATAATGGAGGGTTTATCTACAAGAATCTGCAATTCTATCATTCCCCCCCACCATGTTTAATCAATTATCATCTCAATAGGTAATCAAAGTTCACCACCAAAAGGAAGGAAGAAAATTAAAAAAAGCACCAATCAACTCCCATAAATTCACTTAATGAGTAGTGAATTCTTTGTGGTGGTAGAATCATTGATTTGTCACGTTTTGATGTGTACTAGATGTAGATATTATGAAGATATGTTTACATTATAAAGATGCAATAAGGATATAATACTTGTATCTTTTTGTCACTACTCATTGAGAACTCATCAATGGAGGAGGAGTGATTTACGATTCAGAAATCTCCATTGGATTCCATGAGGGAGGAATTATGAAGAGGGGAACTGGGTGGCTGACAGAATTTTTATTATGATGATCATTGCTATTACTGGTTTTTTTCACCATGATTCTCCTTATATTTAAGCATGCGCCAAATTGTTCACAATGAAGTGAATTATGAAGATATGTACCATGATTCTCCTTATATTCAACCGTCGCTGAAAGCTCAAGCATCATCAAACAGTGCTTCCTGCTCCATAAGATGGAAGAAAGATCTGGTCTTTAAGTGTTACAGACAGAAGAGGGAGTAGTTTTCCCAACCATGAGTCTCACTTCTCCCATGACTCCTGAAAGCAGAGCATTACCAGGAACCCACAAAGATCACAAGTAATAAGCAAACATCTAACACCAAAAAGAGTGGGAGGACTTTGGTTGCTTGATAGAGGGAAGAAGGCTGAAAGAAATTTAAGGGCTTACTGACTCTGTATTGAGCTGGGGCGAGGCTTAAAGCGATGCGTACATGTAGAGCGTGGAGATGAGTTACATTAACGAAATCTTGGGCACCCTGTAAAAGACACGGTGAACAACAAAAGAGAACCTGGAAGGGGAGCTACATCAGAGCCTACATAATCACAATGAATGAAAAGAAATGAGAGAGGCTGATTCATTGTGTGATTTGAGATTTTCATCAAGCACTTACGTGGACCAATTTCTCATATTGATAATCAGTCTGCTGTACAGAATCTCAAAGAGGCAGATTCAAGGGCCTGCCACCAGCATAACCATCAAAAGAGGGAGCAAGGTCATTCTACCAGAACAAGGATATGGTTGTCAATTGGAGAAAACAACTTGAAACAAGACAAAAAGGAGAGATCTCAAAGAAACCTGATTTAGTTCAACGTCACTGGAATTTCCCAACCACATATTATGAATTCGGAGATGATTCTGGCGCAATACCAGGAGCCCCAGTTAGATAACTTCCATATCCTGTACCAACCTACCAGCATCAAGGATCAAGTGTTAGTGATAAAATCCTGACGAAGAACTTGATGAAAAAAATGCACAAACCCTGCTGGTTAAGTATGGTGTCTTAAGCAGCCGAAGTCTTGAAAGGTCATTAAATTAGCTACAGGTTACAGTCCATAAGTCCTGAGATTCTATAAAAAAATTATCAACAGGCTATTTTTAAGTGTTATATGTGTTGGAAATTGGTCATAACTCATAACTCAACTGACAGGAAAAAGGTAGACTGAACATTAAGAGTTCAACAAGAACCCTAAAGAAGGAAATTGAGGAACATATAAAGAATACATATGGATTCAACTATTAATCGGCTACATTTAAATTCCATATCCACCAAATAATTGGCACAACTTGTCAATAACAAGATTACCTTCCAAGGATGTGATGATGACGTCAGTAGCCACAGAAGTTAAATCTGGCCATTGTTCGAGAAGGAACGAATATCCGAGGGGAAAAAAGAGGCGTATACTGTGGCTCTGCTTCACTGGCAAAGAGGGACCCAAGAGGATAGCTAAATAAAAAGAAAAGAGCAAGTTAAAAATACATGAACAGCTTGCTAGAACGAGGACTCATGGGGAATCTGCATTTTAAGAAGAGCATAAGAGAGAGTGGGTAGTGAGTTACCTGTTCAAGAACTGGCACATTGGTCATTGGATTGCAAAATCTGGGAGCTAATACTAAATAGACCCTTTCATCTTACATTTTCAGGGACCAATTTCGGGTTGACAAGCTGTTGGCAAACTCACAAAACCTTTACAGTGGCAACCAAGCACCAATAAACAGTCCCTCTAGGCACAAAGTCTTTCCCACAACCAGCACTTTTCCTACGTAGTTTAACTTCATTGGCTATGTCATCCTCCGAAAAATCATTCTCATTTGTAATGTCTCTCACCTTCTGCTCAGTTGGGTGCATCCATTCCCATACAACTCATTATCCTCGCATGAGGAGCTTTGTTGTTCGGTGAAGGTAAGCCTTTAAATCATATCCCAGGGCCTTCATTCGGTATAAGAGTTTGATTGCATCCTTCCTTTTATCTTGGGAGCGAAGAAGGGACTTAAGTAGTTGATTACAAATCCGAGGCTTTAACAAAATGCCTTTGTCGATTGTGTAAGCAAAAACATCAACTGCAAGGTCTAGTTTCCCTTGTCTGCACAGACCTTTTATCAAGTTTGCACAACTTGGTGGAGTAATAGCTACTTTGGATTTATCGAGAATAGAAAATACCATAGAAGCTTCTTCTATTCTTCCAGACTGGCACAACCCAATTAA